AGCAACACAACCGACCAAAGCCAAAGCAGGCCAAAGGAGTCCAGGAGGAAACTGGAGAGTGGAGAGTCCTCCTCGGAAAACTTCTGATGTATCCACATAAATCCGGTTTAATTAATTTAACCTGTCAAGCCGTTTGATTGCATTTGAATGGCTTCAATCGAATGAAGTTGAAGTGTTACATGCAAGGCATTTAGTGCCCAAAAACAGATAGAGATAGAGATAGAGAGACAGAGACAGCAAGAGACTCTGTGTGTGTGTGTGTGTCTGTTGCACTTGACAAGGAAAATTGATTTTACTTCGTTCGCTGGCATTTCATTTCCCTCGCGATTGTTTTGGAATTGATATTGAAAGCTGTCAATTTGCATTTGACATCGTTCTCCTCCATTTTTGCCAAAACTGCACTTTTCTACCACCCCGCCCCCCTTGATTTTTCCTTTTCCTTTTACGTTTTTCCCTGTGCAAACGATTTTCCCTGCTGCGCTCCAACTGCTCCCAACCCCCCCCCCCCCCCTTGTTCATATATACATTTACTTTTTCGGATATTTTTTTGTTGTTGTGATTTTTCAGTTGATTTGCCTGCCATTTGCCATTTGGGGACTGCAAACGGGGCACGGCGAGAGCGCTGGAAAATCGCTGCTTGACTTTGATGTGTTTGACATTGTTTTCGTTTTTCGCTTTTCCGGGGCTCCCACAAAACGCTCGACATTTGCTCTGGAGAGCACGTCCTGGCGGCAAGAGTCAGTGTTCTCGTTCAATGGGAATCAAAAGGGGGTTTGGGGATCAGTCAGGAGCAGTAGCGGAATGGCAGGAGTCGTCGCTGTGTGCTTGTTTATGTCAACGGCAATGACTTTGTCATGTCACGGCTTCTATTCTGTGAGAGGGCATTCCCATTCCCATTGCCACACCCACAGCCACAGCTGTGTCCATCAATTAAAGCGTTTTGCCGCCACACTTTCAACCTTTCAACCTCTGCCAGCCAGCCTCTCTGCACATTGTCACATTTAATTATTTTATTTCAGCAAATTATGCCACACGCAATTACACGTTTGTCCGACTATAATGAAGCCATATAGCTCCTGCTGGCAGTGTGCAGTATATTCCGGGAATTATGGGCTGCTCTTCTTTCTGTCGCCGCTTTAAAGGCTACTTTGGGCGGGAGTGTGGCTCGCAAATGCTCGCTTTAAATATTTACCGCCATGAAGAGCCAGCAGCGGGCTCATAAATATTTAGGAAGCTGGAAGCGAAAAAAGATGAATGGAGCTGGTGATGGGACGATGGGACGATGGGGGGCTCCGGAATAAATTGTTAACACGCATGTGCCGCGAAAATAATGCGAATGATGAAAATTAACTGAAAAGTTTATTAAATATGCAGCAGCGAGAAATGCGTGAAGAGGGCAGGAGGGAGGAGGCAGGAGGCAACTGACGAAGGAGAAATAATGAACGTTGAATGTTTAAACAAAGCGAAAGTCCTAGACAATGCCGGCGCGCACACTGGGTGGGGATGGGGGCTGGGGGCTGGGTAACTGCCACGGCCGTGCGGCATTCAAATCTAGGCTACAACTTTGCTTAATGCAATAACCGTGTTAGGGGCACGCCACAAGAAGCAGGACAGGGGCTAGGCGGAGTGGGGGGGGCGCACATGTAAATGGGAACACGGCAGCAACAATTCCCTGGGAAGTCAAGACAGCGACACGCACACACACACACCCCAAACTCTAACACCCACACTCAGAGGCAGAGGAAAATGGATCCATTGTGAGGCAACAAACACAATCAAATGCATTGGCCTACGGACACAGCCATGTTGCCAACAATGAGAATTCGCCACGAGAGTGCTGGAGGTAGAATGGAAGTGGGAGAGGGAGAGGGAGAGGGAGAGGGAGAGGGAAGCACAGCGGGCTACTCCTCTCTGTCACTCAAACATTTCTGAACTTACGCTGCCCGTTGAGGTATCCCAACATCATTTAGATCTGAATTGTATCTCTTCTATGTCTTCATTTTGCTTCACTTCCTTTCCCAGGAATTCACACGGACTTCGCATGCGATGGGTATCCAGCTATTCGAATACCTCTGCACTGCCACTGCTGCTGCTTCTATATTCCCCCTCCCCATTCCTCTGCCCACGCAGCACTTTCAAGATTGTTTATTTTTATTTCCCTGCATTCGGCGTGCCAGTTCCATTTCCAGTTCCAGTTCCATTCTGATTCACGCTCAACTGGCAGAATGATATATGTATGTGCCTGGCATGCGTCGCCTGTTGTTGTATTTCTGGCCCCGACTCTGACTTATGATATGGCCTCTGCTCCGCCCCTCCCCACCCCTATGTGACATGAATTATAGTCGCTGTGTGCAATTTTCAATTTCATAAGAAGCCAAGCAGCCCGCTAGATGTTGGATGTTTCCCACAAACGATTGGCTCCCCAGCAGCACTTTTCGGTTCCTGCTCCGAAGTGGAGTCGGATCCTCTCCAGGGGCTCGGCTAATTGCCAAAGTTGGCCCCGAGAGCTTATCGGCGGCGGTAAGTAGATTGGTTTTGCCCATCGACTGGAAGGTACAAAATATTTAAATTTCCACAAATAAAATATATTCTGTTTCATTATACCTTAGCACGCGCAATCAGCATGGGGTGCGCGTTCCCTGCTCCTCCTGCTCCTCGTGCTCCTCGTGCTCCTCCTGCTCCTGGCCGTGATCCTAGTCTCCTGGCTCTGTCTCTGGCTTCCTGCCAGCCTGCCGATTTAATTCGTTTGCATAAATTTCCATTGTTTTTTGTTATTGTTGTTGCTTTGGTGGGTCACAAAACCGAGTCCTGCGGCTTTTTTATGCCCTCTATGTCGGGGGTTCCTTCTCCTTCTGTTGCCTGTATGCTCCACGGCTCCACGGCTCCAGTTTTTATTATTTTGTTGTTTTGCGTTGCTCGATTCGATTTTAATGTGCTGGCAAATGCTTTAAATATTTGCCTGTCCTCTGGGGGCTCTTGGGGGATGTGCTCGGAGCTCCTCCGACTTGCCATTTTGGGAGAGTAATTGTCAATTACGCTGAGAGTTGGCCATCTTTAAGTTGATCAATAATTCATTAGGCGTTTGTTCCTGCCTGGCCTCTGGCCTCTGGCCTCTGGCCCCTGACCCTTGCCCTCACGCCTGACCGCTGACCCAGCTGCTGGACTGCTTGCTGGACCCCGACAATCGCTGTGCTTCTGCTGCTCCTCGGAGGGTCATAAATCATCATTTATATTATTAACAAGGGATCAAAACAGACAAGCCAAACACACAGACGCTCAGCGGAACACGGGAACACTTTCATATGCATATGCCAGAGTGCATATGTGGTGGCTGTGTGTGTGTGTTTGGTGTGTGCGTGTTAACCGGAAACCAGAACAACCGCAAACGACAAGGGAGTGGGTCCGTCCGTCCGCTCCGCTCCGCCGAAACGAAAGGCTTCTTCTCCTGCAGCGAAGGCATCGAAAGCGATGTTGGGGCTTGGAGTTTGGAGGTGCAGCTGGACTTGGCAAGGATGTGGGGTGTGGCTCTCGCCAAAGTGTAGCATATTTATGGGCGCCGCATCCTGTACGGCCACGGTCACGGGAAGTGAGTCAGTCGGTACATTCATGGCCAAAAGTGTGCGCTTCGCTTGCATACAGTCAGTCATTTGATTCTGTTTATCAATGAGGACTTCACACAATTTCTTCCGGGCACGGGGAATAGCAGCGATTTCTCTCCATCAGAGTGAAACTCAAGCTCTGTGAGTCACTGTACTTTCTGCTAAACTAATAAATGCCCTCCACTCACTGTGTCAGAGTCACAGTCCGGAGTCTGAATCACTTTGCATCGCTCTCTCTCTCTCTCTATTACTCTCCTCCTCTCTCTCTCCCTCTCTCTCTCTCTGTCTCACTCATTGTCTCATCTGTCTTTCTACTTCTCTCTCTTTGTGTGTGTGTGTGTGTGCGTATGTGTGTGTTTGTTTTTGTGATGGACTGGAGGAATGTAACTCCCGGCAGCTGTTGGCCTCCTGTGCTTTGCATGTTTTATAGTTCTGACCTTAATACCTGCGGACCCTTTCACGATGAACATGAGCCAGAGATGGCAAAGGAGAAGGAGAGCTGGAACATGAGCCAGAGCCAGAGCCAGAGCCAGAGCCATAGCCAGAGGCAGTGACGGGGACGGACACGGAGCGTGTGAAGTTGTTTCTGTCTTTGGGGGCTGCTGGCGCTAAGCTCAAAAACAAACACCTGAATCCACGTACCTGCCGCCGGGGAAGCTGGAGCTTGAAGTGGATGTGCCAGTGTTGGCTGTGGTCCAGTCGCAGGAGCTTTTTCCTCCATTGTTCTGGAGTCCGAATCAATGCATTTGGGGACTTGATTAATCGATAGAGAAGAGCATTCCAAGTGCAGTGCTGCTATTGCCCGAACCCAGAGCAAACATGGCCAGCAAAGAGCCAAGGAGCAGCCATTGAAAGCGGGCGGCAAGTTTTCCGGCAAACATTATGAATTATGAATATTCTAATTTGGATCTTATCGCACTCATTAACACCTGGCTGCCCTGTGGGCCCAGCCCGACACTCTTTACAAATTCTCTTCGGATTGCATTCACGAGTAAGGGGCCTAAGTGGATAAAGGTTATCTCTCCCCCCACCCACACACATACACACACACACACACACCAACACACACAACTAGTGGGGCATACTCTCATGGCACTTCCTTTCCGGGCTTAGTTCAGTGTGTCAAGGTGCAGCAAGAGGCGCAGACCAGAGAGGAGGCCGAACGAATACGAATACGAGTACGAGCAGCAGCATGGCCAATTTGCAGTTGTCAATTGGCAATTACCAATGGCCGTTGAACAGTTTTCGGCTTAAATTGAAAGCCTTACAATCGCAGCTCGGGCATGTAATGAAATAATGAAACAAAGTGCTACTCCGGACAAAAGCTGTGGCTGTGATGCCCTCGGGCAGGCGACAGATGAGAAGGAAGTGGCGGAGATGGAGGGCACTTTTTCCGCTTCTGCAAAATTTTTAATTAAAATCTTTGAGCTCTTACTGTGCGTACTTAATTAATTGCGCTCGAGTGCCCGTTCAGGCCAGCGGGCCGAAAGGATTCAATGCCCAAAGGTGGTGAACGAGCAGCAGGATTCATCCTATTCTCGATTGTCCTCCTCATGCCTGCGCCATCTGCTTCGTGATCCAAGGCAGGAACGCCCCCACGTCCGTGTACACCCCCGGGGAAGAGCCCACACCGCACTGACTCGGTCCATAGCTGATGATCCCCGTCTGCACGAAGCGCTGCTGTCCGAAGTACCTAAATGCATAAAGAAGAGGGCCGCCAGAGTCGCCGCTGCAGCTGTCTTGCGAGGCGGAAGACGTACAGATCTGATTCTCGGCGAACGCGTTCCTAGGGTACGCCGCGACACAGTCCTGCAGGAGAAGACGGTTGACAGAAGCCTCCCTGGGCACATTGGAGTAGGCATTGCTCTCAGTCCGTCCCCAGCCAGTCACCCGGTAGACCAGCTGATCGCGGACGTCCCTCTGCAGTTGCTGATTCAGGGGAAGGCAGATCGGATTGATGTGAGCTGCAATGCTGAGAATGTTCAGGGCAGATTCGTGCCATTCGCGATTGACTTGTCTTACCAGCGTACTCCACGTCCCTGTTCAGCTTTATGAGTGCTATGTCGTTCTGGGTGAGGTTATTCGGGAATCCCTCATGCACGATGATCCTATCGATGCCAATGTCCTCGGGGGGCGGCTGGCACCGTGTCTGAGAGCCCACGCCCACCATGGTGCAGTCCACTTCCGTGGATAAGTCGTGCTCTCCCAATCGAATCGAGACTCTGTGGCAGAGTCCGAACTTGTCAGTTTTGGAATGTTTGAAAGAAGTCTACTCACGGCTTTTCCCTGCTCATGCAATGCGCTGCAGTTAGGATGAAGCCTAGAAGGTGGAAAAGAGAGACTCAGAGGTTGTTCCACGAGAAACGGAGACTCTACTTACGCTTGGAAATGAGTGTGGCTCCGCACTGGAACTGGCTCCTGCCCTCCGCCATACCCTCGTACCTCAGAAGGGCCATCCAGGGTCTCGAGCCCATTTTGACCTCTTGGCCATGCGCGACTTTGGCCAACGAGAATTTGCCGCACTCCGTCTCGTTCCGCAGCATCGCCAGTCCAGTGTCATTGATTTCTTCCTCGCAGCACACAAAGGTCTGCCACGCGGCACATCATGAAAACATCTGGTTATTCGAATATCGAATTCTCGTACAGCCGCTCGACTCACCTTTCGCTCCTCCGAACAGGCTCCCTCTGGGTGAGCTCGTAGCCGGCGCGTTTTCTCTGTACGATCGCTTTGATGGGCGGACATCTCTGGTAGTGGATGCAGCGCCCGGGCCGGTCCTCGAAGTTGCTGCAAAAGTCTGCATCTGCAAGAATCGTAACAAATTTCACGGTAAGCGACCGGCTATCAGCGCTGCACCGAGACCTCGCTTACTCAAGCGGGCTTCCTGTCCGCTTCCAATAAGCGCTGCCAGCAGGCAGAGCGTCAAGCAACTCCACAAGCGGCCGATCATGTCGCCAGATAGGTTTGAAAGAAACTGAAAGAATCGATGGCGCAAAGCTAGACTCGAAAGCTCTACTCATGCATGAACAGTTCCGCATTATGCTTACTCTCTCCCTCTCTCTCTGCTTCTACTTCTTGTGCTGATTTATCGCCGGTACACACGGGCAGGGGAAGCTTCGGCTACGCTGACTTCGAAAGCTCTACTCATGCAAGAACGATCCTGCACTCTGTCTACTCTCTCTCTCTCTCTCAGTCTACAGCTCTATTTTATCAGCATTTGGCAAACGCCCAACGTTTAGTAAACTGAAACGTTTTCCACTCTGAAAGTCGCTCCAGCCTGCAGCCACCGGTACACAGGGCCAGGGGGAGTGAAGGCGAACGCTTTCAGCACGAAACAAGTGTAAATCAAATAAAACCTAATAAAATATATGTATAAAGGGGGCGAGCGCAGGTTGCCACACAGCCACCCTACTGACGCCATCCACGCCGCCCTTTCACCCTAGCAGCCATGCCCCCCTCCCACTTAAAACCCACACACACACGCATCCAGATGCGTCCACACAAAGCCCCACATGGGCACGGCAAAAGAAAAAACCATGCGACAATCAGGAACACGACCATAAGTTACCCTGTACGGACTGAAAAGACTTTCTTGCGTCTGCCTGTTGCCAAGTCCGGCATACCCTTCCGGTCTGCACGACTAGCGGGTGTCAAAAAGGGAAAACGAAACCTAAATGGCAAACGAATTGAAGTCAGCAATTTTATGTTTTATTGCAATTCTTTCCTTTCACTCTCCTTTCGCCCGCATCCCATCCCGGATTCTATTTTACGGTTACCTAGCACTCCTTCGACTACCCCCCTTCCCTCTCCCATTGGCCGTGGTTTGTCATAAAGGGGTTTCACGGGCAAGGGCACTGGCGCGGGCACGGGCACACGCCGGTAGTAGGTGTGGATGCGTGGCTGCCTGGAGCCGTGGATTCCGATTCAGATACAGCCATTTGCCATGCACTGGCATCAAAAGGAAAAACCTGCCTCGAAGCGAAAAGCGCTTAAATCGAAGAGTTTTTTGTGGGCCTGCCTGGTGATGCGTCTGGCTGTTGCACGCATCCATCCCATCCCGCAGTGCCCCTCACGACCTGCGCATATGTCATAAATGGGGTCTGGGTCGCGGGTCCTGGTCCCCTGCAAGGACAGGGTTGCACAAGCGAAATGGAAATGGTTCTGTAATACCCTCACCAGCGGGCATAGTCCTGCGGGCCAGATGGTTCGCCTGGTGCCAGTAGTCAGGCAGGCAGGCAGGCAGGCAGGCAGGGGCAGGGACTACAACGGCTTGCCCCCGGCTGGCAACGGCAAAAACTTCTTGTTTATTCCTTTATCGGGCTGCAATTGTGAGGCAGTTATAGATACGGATATCTGTCCAAACACATGTATCCGCCTCAGCCTCAGCCTCAGCCTCCGCCCCGCTCCCGCTCCCACATGCGTGTGCGTCCGTGCTCGGGGAGGTATTCAGGCGTGTTTAGGTTTTTCCATTGAAATTATTTCTCTTCGATGGGTTTTATGGGCGAAAGGGAACGAATTGTTTTGAAGCGGGGCATAAATTATGGAAAATTGTTTTACATACATAATTTATGGCTGGCAACATGAAAGTAAATTCAATAAATGGTTAAAATCGCTTGGGCCACATCTATCTGGAGAGAAACCTCAAAAATGTCCCATTCTTGTGGCTCGAATGGAAGGCCATGCCACGGAAATGGAAATGCAAAACCCACTAAAACACCAATAAATAACTAATAAATGTTCGATCCCAATTCAATTTTCGCTGGCAATCCATAAATTATGTTTCATTGCGGGTGTCGAAAGTTGAATTAAATCCAAATTTCGTTTGTGATAACTTTCCGAGTAACTGTTCGATTCGTTTGCTCCATAAGGAGGCTCCGCGCTCCTCTCCTCCTTCTGCCTTTTATCGGGGATCACAGAGGCTTCTCACGCCCCGGCCATAAAACTTTTATATCAACTTATGTACACTTACAACGGCCATTATAACGCATTAAACATAAACGCTGCTTCATGGACTCTCGTATGCCGACATGCCTCGTACCCTCCATGACACCATGCCCCCTTCCTGTCTGCTATCTAATTGCCAAAGCCCGGCAACTTCCACACACATACACACAGATACTCTGATACTACTTCCAATGAATGGGCTTGGTCTTGGCCCGCAAAAGCCCTGAGCGAAAGCCAAAACGGAAACTTCAGAATAGGGCCCAGGCAATAAATCATTGGCGATGACCCCCTCCCTGCCTCTTCAGCCACTGCTGCAACCTCATTGAACATTAAAATAATTGCAGTGCAAAACTTGGCCAATGATTGTTCTCTGCTGTTGTGCACTTCGTGTTCATTAATGATAATTAAAAAAGTTTATCCGATCCGGGAGGAGTCCAGGCGTCCTACCCCAAGCCTCAGGCATTGCTGGCTGTGAGGTAGAGCCATTAAAAATAATGCCATAGTTCACTAAACCGCATTATCCGTATGGAATCAGTGCGAAAGAACACTCAAAGCCAAACCCAATGCCAGAGTGTGCTAAACTGCATAATCATATGGAATGGAATGGAATCGATGCCGCATCCGTATCCGTATCCGTATCTGAGAGATGGATTGAGCAGCTTGTTGCTCGATTTCCAGCACTCACAGAAAGGGCCTGCGGGCGCCTGGCTGTCAAAGAGACGAATGCAATTGCAGCAGTCATATTTCATTGCTGCCCCAAAAGTAGGCAACATCCAACATCCAACATCCAACATCCCATCGTCTGGCTCCAGCTGCTGCTCCCGCTCCGCCCGCTCCTATATTTCCAGCTCCTTGTTGTTTTGCCAAATGTAAACAAACATTTCTCACTCCCCGAGAGACCGGGAGTGGCCGGGAGAGAGAGGGGAGGGAAATTCCTGGAAGCACGTGCAACTTCTGAGATTAGAGACGGAAGATTCCTCTGCGCAGACTCACCATTGAGAAGGCCGAGCGCAGAGCGTGTCCGTGTTGGGTTTCGCGGCTTCCACTAAAGTCAAGTTCGCATTGAAAAGTCTTTGTTCCATCCGGCGGCAGTCAGTTCGTGTTGTCCGCCGGAGTAGACAGACCTCAGAGTCCGCGAGTCCCGGCCTCATGTCGAGCGTGTGTCCCCGAAAGATGCGAGACTTTGCCGCCAGAGACAATTGAGAAGCCCAAAAGCAGTGCACGTGTCCGTGGAAAGTGAAAACCCTAACAGCAATAAAGGAAGCCGCAAATCAAACTGAAATTCTCCTGCGAAGGCCACAACCAGCACCAGCGGCAAGTCGTGTGTGTGTTTGTTTCAAATTGTGTGCTCACTCGTACCTGCCCCCTTGCCGCACTTGCGGCACTTGATGGCTTTGACATTGGCGCCACATTTGCATCTAGCCGTGGGGCAGGTGTAAATATTCATTCGTCCCGCCTGCCGTGGAGTGGGTGCCGCTGCTGCTGCTTTTAGCATAATTAAAGAAGGGGAAAAACTTGGCCAGAGCCTTGAAACTTTCAAGAGATCGGTGCCGTCAAAGGCAGCAGCTTTAAAGGCCGGACTGGAGTGGAGCGGACCACTGCTGCCTGTGGACGTGAACGGAAAGGTGAGTTGTACCACGGGCCACTCCACCCTTTCCGCCTGGCCGCGTTTGCTTTGGCCAAGTTAGCGGCGTGTTTCGGAGTTGGTTAATTGAAGAATGGAATGCAAGCAGCCCACCAGCACCCACCCCAGTAGCTCCAGTTGCTGCATGAAAAAGTTAAATTGAGTATTGCAGACGCTGAGGCAAGAGGTTCCAGCGATTCAATGAGGATTAGGATCAAGAGTCAATTCCCAGCACTACTCTTGGCTTGGCATAACAAATCCCCTAACTACTGTTGCTAGTAGTAATCCCTACTCTCTGTTTCAACATCTTTCTTTCTGCTCAAAATCGAAACGGAACGAAACGAAACGAAACGAAAGGAAGCGAAGGACAGGAAATGAATCCTTGGAATGGCTTAAGAGATCGCCGCATCGTTGCCTACTTTTCGGCAGCGAGGAAACCGGGAAACTTTTTAAGTGCCCCAGCAAAGGCGCAGAATTAAATTAAAAATGGGAAGCTGCTAGGGAAAATGCCAGGGATCGGCTCCCGCCTGCCCCGACTCCCGTGTGCAAATAGAAGAGGACTCCGGCTTCAAATTGAATTTAAGGAGCATAGTCCTGGTCCCTTGTCCCTCGTCCCTCGTCTCTAGTACAATAGTTAAGCGGAAATGTATGTCCCTGGGGGCATGCCTTGACGTAGCAGCAGGGCCTGGAAGTGTGTCAAAAGTACGTAAAACCGGCTAAGGGAATCAATCGAATCGAAGACGAAAACGGAGATGGAGACGGAGACGGTGACGAGGGAGAAGCAAAAAACCAAACAGCCACGAGCCATAAAAATGGCCCAAAACGAAGGGACGACGAAGTAAACGTCAAAAGAAATTGAAATGGAACTCAAGCAAAAACTACTTTGTTTGCGATTAGCACTTGGCCGGATTATTGTCGTGAGAGGGGGGGGGGGGATGTGGAGCGTTTGCAAAGAGGAAATGAAATGTGTGTCAATATATTGATTGAATAATGGTCTACATATTGACAAACAACTCAAAAGGCACTCGACAGGCAGAGTTGCCAGTCCCGCAGTCCCCCTCAGCCCTCAGACCCAGGACTAGACACGAAACCCAGTCAGGCATGAGAGGCCTAAGGGGGTCTCTCGGCACACACAGGAAGCGGAAGCGCCCGCACACGCACACGCACACCCACACGCATAGAGAAAGAGACACACACACCCACACATAGTCATGGGCAGAGTCGCATGCGAGAATATGTCGAATCGGCAAATGCAAAGTGAGACATCAAAAGCGTTTCGAGTGCGTCGTCATCAATGTAAAGCAGCTGCCAGCAAAGGCACGCCCAGATGAAGCTGTCCATGTCGATCCCCAAGACGATGATGATGATGATGATGGTTCGGAGGATGCTCAAGATGAAGACGTTGCCTAGACGAGAGACGGGGCCAGCACAGTGAAGCAGTCTTCGTCTAAGTCTCCTCTCTCGTTGTGTAACACGTGTTCCTTTAATTAGATAAAGTTTGTTTGCATTACAAACATACTGGCAGCAATTTGCTTGCTCTGCACTGCTGCTGCTGCTGCTGCTGCTGCTGCTGCTGTCGATGGCAATGCCTCGACTCCAATTCTCCTTCAATCCAACTTTTTTTTTCTTTCTGGCAAATTCCCCAGCGGGGCAGCTGGAGAAAAAGTTTTCCGCTGCCATTCTGGGCCATGATTGACTGACGCACGTCTAGTCAAATAAAAATATAAATAAAAATGAAAATAGAAAATAAAAAGCGAGCAAAATATCCCATAGAATCATAGAGCGTCTCCCGCTCTCTGTGAATATTTATGTAAATAATTTCATTGAATGCCATGCTGCAGAGAGCTGCACAAAAATTTTGCTCATTTGCGTGACATTTTCGCAGGGGGGCTGTGGGCTCTTCAGAGTTTGCTTTATCGCAGGGCCAGAACTTTGGATAAATATTTGTGTATGGCTCTGGGGATGGTGGCGTCCGCCGCTTACTTGTGTTTATTTACCGAGATGTTTCACTCAGCTTTAAGGAATTGAGGAAATTTCTGATTGCGGAATAATTTTCAATTTTAATTTCGAAGCTGCTGCAAATCCAGGGGAATCGGGTCACATTATACTCATGTATGCAACTCTCAACAAAATGCATATTTAACGAGCTGCGGGCCGGGACACTGGCATGCCACATTTTGCAAATCCCCACAAAGGCCCACCGCACAAAGCCTTTTAAGATTTCAAGGCTTTTCTTCGGATTTTGCCCCGCCCCGTCGCAGGCCTGTTGTTAATTAAAAGCTCACAAAAGTAGGTAACATGCATATTACACACACTCTGCCACTCACACGCTCTCCTTCTCTCAATTGTTGCACATACGTATTAATTTGTGCTCTTGCCACTCGACGAGGCATGCCATTGTGTGAGTGAATGAGTGTTTCCTCTGCTGTTTCTGCTGCTGCCATTGCCACTGCCCCCTGCCCACCTCTTCGACACAACAATGAAATGGCGGCCAAAGAGAATGACAACAATGAAGGCCAGAAATGCACATAAACCTGCCACACACACACACCATACACTCGAGGAAAGTGCGCTCCAGCAACAATGAATGAATGTGTTAGCACACTAACACAAATCTTTATTTAAGCACAACACAAAACACACGAAAAGAAAGAGACTCTCTTGTTGGCATTTGCGACCAAAAGTTACCCAAAGAAAATTATAAAAAAATTAACTCTATGACATACGATAGATTGGATAAATATCTAAGGAAGTTCCCTTAAATGTGGGTTAGCGACAGCCCTGAATTCCTTCTTTCTGTTGCAAACACCGTCATGAGTGCAACATGCCCAACGCGCTCGAAGAGCAACGTCGAGGGTACACAAGAAGAGAATGGAATAAAGAACACGAATGAAGGAAAGAAAGCAATTCAATGGTGGAAACCCACAAACACACAAAGCCCCAAAAGATGCAGAGGAAGCAGCACAACAAGAGACAGAGAGCGAGAGAGAGAGAGAGAGCTCGAAAGGGAGGAAGTCGCTGACGATGGGCCAGCGGGCGAGCGAAAAATTAGAACAGTCAAGCGCCTCAGGATATGCAACACATAAAACTTCGTCGAGTCCCAGTCCCAGTCCCCGTTCCTGTTCCTGTTCATGCGGCTTAAACTTGCCCCATTCCCAACTCTCATTGTTGCGGCTGCTCGCTCCGTGGGTGGTGCAGTCAGTGCATCCCCCCGCACCCACGCCCGCACCCGCTCCATCGCTGGCATCGAGTGACGTCCATGGCCAGCCATTTCCGTTTCAATGTCTCCCGCTTAGTCCGACGGCCGTTAAGCCATTTTCCCACCACTCGATGCCAGTTTAAACTTGTCTCACAGCCTACTCTCCCTCTCTCCTTCCATCTCCCATCTCCCATCATGAGTGGAGTGTGTGTGCGTGTGTGTGTGTGTGTGTGCAAGTGCGGCAAAGTTTTTCGTGACTCCTTGGGGCACGGCACATTGAAGAGGCATAGAGAGGCAGGAGGCTGCCAGAGAAACTTTGCATCGCAAACTTTTCTGCATATATTTTCCACAAAACGGAAGCTTGTTTTTCATGTCTGCTGGCTTATTTCGTTTTGGGGTTTTTCAGTTTTTGGGTTTTTCTCGGGCTTTCCCCTGCCAGCGGGTATATTCACTTAGTGGGGCAGATCCACTCCCAGAACCTTTTCTCCAATTTTAAATGCTTTAATCGCAATTTATCAAATTGGATGTGGAATGGGAGGGTTGGATGTAGTGAGAACGGGAGAGGGGGGACTCGGAAACTTTTCCAACTGTCGAATTGGGGCATTGTAAGCGTTTAATTTGTCAGCCATTTGCTTAGTTCAAAGTTTTCCATTTACATTTACATACATTTGGATTTGTTTGACTCGCCTCTCTCTCTTTTTGTCTCTTTCCTTTCAGAATGCTGGCCCCGCTCCAAGTCCGACTGCTACAGCGACAGCGACCACGAATCGAGTCATCCTCTGATCCCCGCCGACGCTGAGCGATGAGGGAGCGGCAAGCATGTCCCTGTCTGAACGCAATACGCCCAGCCATGGGTCTGGGGCAGGGTCAGGATTGGGATCGGCAGCGGGCCGCCAACGGCCGCCGCCGGATGTGGAGGAGGCCCTATCCTCCATGCTTTGGACCCCCTACGAGCGTACGCCCATGCCCAGCTCATCGGAGGGCGAGGAGGAGGAGGAGGAGGACGATGACGAGCGCCTCAACCGGAAACTCCACAAATCGCACAGCAGCTACGAGGCCTCGGCGCTGAACCAGCCTCCCATCCAACCCCACGCCCACTCCTCCCACCTCCAGCCCATCTATGCGCACCACCCACCAGCAGTGGAGGCGGTTCCCCTGCTATTGCCACTGCCGATGCCGATGCCGATGCCGCTACCCCCCGTGCCTTCCTTTCCCAACTTTAGTTTAAGCGCATTCGATGCGGCAATCGCCGGCTTCGACCTGGCCAAGGCCGGACAGGCGGCCACCGCAGAGGGGAGTGGCGCAGGTGGAGGCGGCAGACGGAATCGATACTCGTTCCCCTCCTACTACGGCAGCCCGGCCCACACATTGACCCAATGGTGTTCCTCGGCGGCAACGGCCATCCAGGAGCCGCCATCCTACGAGTCGCTCTACTCGGCCCAGGACTCGACCTCGACCTCCCTCCTGGCCATGTCGAGCGTGGCTCGGCCCAGGAGCGGATCCCAGCCGGAGACCGAACCATGTGATAGATCGCAACGATCGCCAACGAAAGCATCAGCATCAGCAGCAGCAGCAGCAGCAGCAGCTGCGGCTGCTCCACTAACGGCAAATGTTCCCGCTGAGCGTCTTATGCGCTCCTTCACGGACGACTACATATCGCAGGTGAGTCCGGGGTCCCATAAAATTGTCGCCTCGCCGCCAGCCCATCTATGTACATATAAAGAGTACTTACGCTTTTAGCTGCTTAATGGGGCGCCATCAAATTTGATGTCAAGGGTTCAGCAGACATTATGTTGGCGCCGCCAAAGTCGATTGGGAGCGCAGAGTCGAACTGTCGCCTTATCGGGCCCATTGACAGCTTCCCCTCCATCTCCGTATCCACACATGCCCCCTTGCAACCCAGTACCGATAAGGGCTAATGCTTCACTTAGGCCCTTAAGTGCCGCTAGCATCCCTCTGGCCGCTGCTGCTCCTCCGCCGGCAGATAAGCGCCATATGTTGCCTATCAGTATCGAATACGGAGTCGGGGGTTGTACTTCTCCTTTGTTTCCAGTCTGCACATTCATAACGTAATATAAAGCATGGAAATAGCAACCCCCGGCCACGCCCCTACCCCTTGCATGTGGGCTGTTTCTCTGTTTCTCTGTGTATAATCCATAATTTGTTTATGTTGCGCCAGCGAGACGGAAAATTGACCGAACAAAAATGACACAAACAAAGAAAAAATGCACAGGGGAGAGAGTAGTGCAACCGCGTCACAGATGCGGGGCGGATCGGGGAAACTACTGAAAGTGCATGGTATGCATTACTGAACAATAAACAGTAGTCGGAAAAGTGTCAAAGTGTCGGGGAGTTCTCCTCATTCAGGTATTCAATCAAGCGAAATGAGTATTCCCGATCCGATCTGTGCCCACTGTTCAATCTGTTCTTCGTCACGGATCGCAAAGCCTAACAAGCAGGCAAAAATGGGTTAAGCAGAGCTCTTCTCTTATCCAAACGCTCCCCAATCGCATATGGGTCGCTCCCCATACTTTTTCTCCCCATCCTAATTGCTGCGTATGTTTCTCTGACGACTGACTCATGACGAGAGATTTATGCGAAAGAACTAGAGATGGGAGTATGACTCTAAGTCGTGTAGAGATTTTCTCAATCTGCTTCCCTACAACTTTAAAACATACACACAGCTATACACAGACATACTCGTGCTTATTTTAATTGTTCCTCGTGCTATGCTGGGATTTTTCGTGCTTCCAAGCACGGCCCACGCCCAACTCTAGGTGAAATCAACGAAGCTCAGTGGCACCGTTAGGTGAGGATGAGTTTCGGTTTTCGGCTGTGCAGTTGGGTTGCTTCTGCTCTCCCCCTCTCCCACTCGTTTTGTTTTTGTGATTGCAGGCAGTGTGTGAGGCGCCGAACAATCGCAATCGTAATGCAGTCGACTGAGCAGCAGCAGCAGCTACTCCATTAGAACAATCATAGAGTGAGTGAGTAGGGGGGAGACTGTGGCCAGGGCTAACAGTAAATCACATTATATTTCTGTGACGCAATTAATGCAAGTAACACAGCGTAACATAATTAGAACCCACATCTCACATCCACAACTTCTACAATATACTACTCTACATGGCCCATAACCCACACCCCATGTTTCTGGCTGGGAGAGGGCGTCGGAGTCAGGGTCGGATTTAGGGTCTCGGGGGTTGGCGATGATTCTATCGTCTGTATGTTTATCCGCTGCGCGGGAGGGGAGGTAGCATAGCAACAGCTTTATCAGCAGACTCCCAGGCAGGGATATCACCAACAGCACCCGCAACAGAAACAACAATTACTTGTGACGGGTTTTATGTTTATGCGTTGGCTTAATTAATTCAATTAAGCGCACATTTATGCGCCTGACACAGTCCATGCCACAGCTCCTGCCCCCCACCACCATGAGAGGGAGTCACCTTTTTTACTGGTTTCATTCCAGCTTTTGGGAAAATGGGAAAACTCCCCTTGGTAGCGGGGTTAATCCCTCAGCAATTAGCATTAATTACGATTTAAAACTTAAATCAAGGCACATCAAATATAGGGTACGGCAGTACCGCTCACAAAAGTGTGTAACACAGCCTTAGCGCAGTCTTATGAACATCTACATAGTAGGTGCCGCTTACTCGCTTTACCTTTGTATGCATGGTAACTTTGCTTGAGTCTCTCTCACATGTTCTGCCTTTGACACGCTCTCCCTCTCTCTTTCTTTGTAGAATTGCGCTTCATTCACGCCAGCAATAAAGCAAAGCAGCAACAAAAGAGACACTGAATTAACAAAAGCAACGGAAATAAGGCAAAGACAAAAACAAAGTCCAGCAACGAATGCAAGATCACAACAAAGTAGAGAAAAGACAAGCAGCAGCAGCAGCAGCAGCATCGACACAATCGACCAAAGCAACAACAACAACAACAGCGATGGCAGCGACTGCAGCAGCAGCGGAGCGAATTGCATTATCAATGAACAGAGAAGAGGCAAAGCTGGCGATGAGCACGAAATGGCAAAAGCAACAGCAACAGCAGCAGCAACAACAACGGGAATCGAGGAAACCAGCTCGAGAGCAGGCCGCCAGGTCACTCAACCTGTTTCCTGTGCCACTGCAGCCGGGGAGAAAGAGAGCGAGCCAGAGAGAGCGACAGCCAGGGAGAGCGACAGCGACAACCACGAACGTTCCACAATCTGCCACCAGCGCCCAACGATCACTCGCTCAACAAAATGCAACGCGTTCACAACAAACGGCAGCAGCAGCGGCACAAGCGGCACAAGCGGCACCAGCAACTATTCATTGTCGTCGGCGTCGTATAAAAACAGCAGCGACGGCATCGTGCTGCGGCCCAACAAATGTTTGGCAGAACTCGAGCGTCTGTACGCGGAATTTCGCGCGAGTGAAAGTCGATTTGAGCGGGGAGTGCGACGCCAGTCGGATATTGATAACGCCAACGTCGAGATGCGTTTGAACGTGCCAGCCAATGCAATGGCAGCGTCGCCAACTGCAGCAACAACTGCGAATGCTAACACGAATACGAATCCTAATTCTGGTGGCAGCAGCAGCAGTAGCGTGTTTCTCAATGCTCCTACAAGCAGCAGCAGCAACAACAACCACAGCGAAAGTCCGTCAGAGCAGAGCGTTAGCAACATTGCTGTGCTGTCAGCTTCTAAGATCTCTGCGACTGCGACTGCGACTGCGACTGCAAAGTCCTGCCAGCGTCAGCCCAGTCTCACGATTCAAGTGAACAACAACAACAACAATAATAATAGTAATAATAATAATAATAATAACGGTACTAACAGCAGTCGCGTCTCGGTCGCATCGTCGTCGTCGTCCACGTCGAGCATTGTCAACAACAACAACGGTGTTTGTGTGGTGGAGATAAATAATAGTGTGCCAGCAGCAGCATCAGCCGCAACGGCAACAGCTGCAAAAGTGTTTAGTGCAACAAGTGTCCAAAATCAGCTAAATAATAATACAAGTCCCACTGAGGATAAGCAGCATGTTGCAACGCCACACGCGGCAGCTGCAAGCAGCAGCAACAACAATCACGTGAATGATAACAGTGTCAATATAATCAATGTGAATGCCACGACCGTTGCCAGCAGCCCTCCGCGCACCTTCACCTCCACCGAGTGCCAAACGGACGACCTCGCTGCATCCCCCTCGTCCCAGCAGCAGCAGCAGATGCGAACACGGGAGCAGCGACGTCGGGAGAGACGGGAACGGCGGCAGCAGCAGCAGCAACAGCAGCAGTTTCCCCCGCATCACCCGAGACGCCACCATGCACCGCCGCCACCACCCCCTCCGCAGCTGCACCCGCCCCCACATCTGCACCACCCGCATCCCGCGGCCATGGGACTGGCGCGTGCCCTTCTCCCGGACATCTTACACCCGCACTACCCGCCGCCCTACAGCGCCCTGCCGGTGCCCGTGCCCATCACAGTGGTGCCTCCCCCCTCGCAGCAGCCACCGCCACAGCAACCACCACCCCCGCCACCGCTGTCACCATCCGTGCCACCTCCAATGCTGACATCCGTGATATCTACGGTGCCCCTCCCCGGACCGGGACCAGCGGGTCCACCCCTCATGAGCGACGGACGCTTCACGCTGCCGCTGCCCATCATGCGCAGGTGAGTCTTCGTTTTCCTCTTTCGTGAATCTCCAGCTCCAGCCCCCCCCCCCAACTCCTTCTGGAGTAACCTCCACCTCTGGCACCATCGATCACCCAGCAGCCATCCATCCATTCATCCGTCTGCCTGCCCATACACTGGCACTCTTCTTCGCCATTCACTCGCCACTCCTTTGTCGTGGCATGGTCCCCGTCTCGGGTTTCACTTCCCCATCGCTCCACCTCCTCCTCCTCTTCTTCTATTTCGACATTTTCTATTACCACACATTGCCTTTTGTCCCGCTGTCCGTAGACTCGTATGTTGTCTCTTCCTGTTTCGTGTTTCGTATTCGCCTCGGGATGGGGGACTGTGCCTCAGACGCTATAATGATGGTAATTTTTATGTCAGTAACAAATTTCTTGCATGATTTGATGCTCCTCATACTCCTCCTCCTGTTTCACATGCCACCCCTTCTCCTCTCCTCTCAACTCCTCTCCTCAACGACCAGGAAGACGCACACTATGTTGTTTTTTTGGTGTAAAAATTAATTCTCATCGTTGACAGCTTCCTAGAAATTAACAAGAGAAAAACAAGGAAAAGGGGGAAGGGAAGAGGGGAATAGTCTTTAATCTAAAGTTCAACCCAAAACCCCAGGGGGTCGATGGTCGTTGGACGATGGTCGGGGGTCGGGATTGAACCCCATTACTCTCCCGCGGTTGGCTAGATTTCGGCGAAAAGTTTTTTTGGGGCTTTAATAACTCATTTTTATTATAATGAGTTCTGGTTTATCTGTAATTGCAGATCTAGAAGCACATCTAGAAGTACGCGGCCGGCTCTTTTGAGGGGGGCACCGGTACTGGGTCGCAGATACAGATTCAGATATCTATGGGTACGCGAATACGTAAGCGAATCAGCGACCGGATTGCCTTAATCGCGGTTTCCCACGCATTTATCGTTTGAAATAGTTATCGCCATAGTTGGTGGGGGCAGGCACTGCCAGAACCAGTTTTCCCGCTGAACCGAACTCGAACCGAATAATCGATGCCGCGTGTACTTCTCGTTCGTATCTGCAGCTGTCTTTCTGTGTTTCCCCCCGACCCTGTAGCTGTGGCTGTGGCTGTATCTGACGGATGCGCGCGCTATCTGTCTAATGGCCTGCCTAAACGTCTCATTATATGGCCAACTCACTGCCCCCCGCTCTCACTCAACGACTCGGCGAGAATCGCTATGAACATTTGACATTTCTGTGGCTCCAACAACGAAAACAACGACAACAACGACAACAATGACGACAACGATAGCAGCAGCGTCAAGAGCAAACCCAAGTCGTGTTTCACAATTTTAATTGTGTTTGCCCATTGAACAATTGCAAAACTGTGTCAGAGACACCGCCATCGTATGTCTGCCTCTTTAGCCGCCTTTGTCTCCGAATGAGCGGTGGAGGAGTACTCATTCTGTAGGCTCTCTGACTCCCATTTGAAACTTTGTCATAAATTTGATGCCATTTCTATATCTATGGGGAATGGGGGTTGCCAACTCCTCTCCAGAGTCCATTCCACTCTCTAATTGGGTCGCTTAATAGTGATTCCATTCCATTCGAGTGTAAACAGCAGTCCATCTCCCACCAGCCCATTCAATCAGATGATGGGGATTAGGGTGAGAGAGAGAGAGAGAGAGATCCAAGAAAAGAGCCACAACAAACCTCAGACATTATCTCCAATTTTAACACCTTCTCAGCCTTCGTCCCAAAATTAACATTACAAAACTCCCCGTAAACTCCATCCACAACATCCTCTCACTTCTGTTGGCCCCAGAAAGGTGTAAAAAAAAAGCGAAAGTTTTTCAGCTCGCCCCGGCTTGTGGCGGCCAAAAAAAAATGCCTTTGGATAGGGGTAGAGTAGAGAGGAGTCCAGTCCCCTCAAGAGGGGCCAGCAGGCGTGTTGACTCCAGGGTAAAAGGGTCGGGTCTCTGGACCTGGTGGACCGTGCATAATCTTTAAATCATTAAATAACCGAACGAGAAAACACGGCAAAACGGGGGGCCCCAAATGAAAAGCAGGCAAAATGAAACAACGAGTCCGCCGCAGAGCAATAAAGAGGAAACGTGAGGCCGAAACTCACGTTGCGCCGTCACCACGTATAAATCGTTGTAATCATTTTTTGTAGCCTTTGTTTTTGTGTTTCTTAGCTTTTATTTTTATTTTGAAACTTGGCTAAAAGCAAAACAAAAAACAGGAGTAAAGCCAGCCAAAAAGGAGGCCGAAAGCAAAGATACTCTTGCAAATCTTGCAGATGGCTTTCAAAGATTTCCGAGAAGATTTTCTGCTAGTTGTTTGATGGATTGTTCCAAGGCAGATGTCGATATAGGTTCAAATGCTCCCTTCTTTGTTCTCGGCTTATCTGCACAAGAGAGATATGGAGATACCCGCCTTTGAGAGGGTAGGGTATCACACGAAAAAAGGTACAGCAGAAACAGAAACAGAAACAGTGGCAGAGACAAAAGAAGCAGAAAACGTGGTAATAAAATCACTTGAGAGACAAAGACAAAGAGCCAGAGTGGGAGAGGCATACACCAGAGAGTGCGACAGAGACAGACAGATCGACAGAGTGCAAGTTTCTGCTTTTTGTATTGTGTTTTGTTTTATTTTTATTTTTGGCCACTTTCACTTTCGCCTTTGTATCTGTATCTGTGTATCTTTGCATCTCTGTTCGAGTGTATCTCCTGGCTAAGGTTAGCGCTTGCAGCTCGTCATAAATTTGGCTTAAAGGGGAAGCCAAAGCCAAAGGCAAGGCACTCCACTCTCTGCCCCACCTCCGACTCCGAGGCATAAATCAAAAGCAATTTGGCCGAGACATAATTTTGGATTCGGGCAACGCTTTATTAATTATGGCTCTCTCTTTCTCTCTTTCTCTCGCTCTCACTCTGGCACTCTCCCTTCTCGCGAGCTAATTGCCGAAATGAACGGACGGATTACGCCGCTGACACTGAAAAGTGTCCTGTGTGTGTGTGTATGTGTCCCCATCTGAGTGACCCCCCCCCCCCCCCAGCCAAGCCCAAGCGAACCCAAAAACCAGTTTGCCAGAGTCCAAAAACCTCCAAAAGATACAAATTGTTCAGTGCAGAAAAGTATCTGCCAGATATCGATGATTCAACCTGAGTCCTCAGTGCCGACTTGCAGCTTCATGCAAATCCAAGAAACAGAATCAGAAGCAGAAGCAGAAAACAACAAAAAAGAGAGACAAAGAGGAAGAGCGAAAGAGAGGTGGAGGAGAATCAAGAACAAAAACCAGATTTTACCCGAAAACCAATGGAAAAGCAGCCACAAGACGCCACAAGAGGTACTCCTCGAGTGGCACAGAGTCTTGAAGTTGTATCTGAGTCTCCAACGCGCCGAGCGACACTCAGAGAGGGAAATTCATTCAAAGAGCAAGAGAGAGAGAGAGAGCGAGGGGCAGAGAGAGGGATGCTCTCGCGATCTTGGGCCTGGGGGCAGCATCCAGTGTGGCACGCATCTCCGCGGGTGACACACATTTCGCTGTAGATTCTCCTGCTGCCGGGAAATTGAGTGATTTTTCATAAGTTTTCCCCCAACAGAAAAGCCAAACCAGCCAGCACTACGCGACACTGCAACACTGCAACACTCCGACACTCGACACCAAATGCTGTACGAGTGGTAGTGGCTGTGGCTGTGGCTGTGGCTGTTGCAAGTAGTAGAACTGACCAAACAACTTTCCAGTTTTACGGTGCCTCACGGCTTTGCTGTCGCTGCTGCTGCCCTGTCCTGCCCCCGAGGAATCTTTCACTGATTTCGGCCCGTGTTTGGGGTTTATTTATTTATTTTTATAAGAGAATAAACACAGGGCCAGTGGAAATACGAGTGTAGGGATACCCTGTAACCGCTCTGCTCTCCGTCACGCATTTTAGATGGAAGGGAGGGTTGAGAGAGCTAAAAGAGAACTTGCCAAAAGTCAATAAAGCCAATGAAGCAACATTTTGCCACAGTCCAGGGGAATGGAAAAGGGGAAGAAGCTTGCTCCATGCCTCCGACCCAGCACCTGCCCCTGTCCCATGCCCATGCCCATGCTCCTCCGTCTACATCTGTCTGCTTTTCGAATCTATGTTTGTATAGAAACTGCATTCGGGCCAAGTTGAAATGAGCCGGCAAAATGCAGCAGCAGCAGCAGCAGCAGCCACCACAGAAGTAGCAGCAAATAGACAGACTAGAGTCGCAAACAAGTTGCCAAACGAATCTCGAAAGAGTGGACAGACAGGCAGCCAGTCGGAGACACAGACACAAAGATACATCCAGAGGCACAGAGAGAGAGTTGCTGCTGCTGCTGCTGCTGCTGCTGCTGTGGGATGGATGGATGGCCATTGGAAGGGCAGCCCCTGTGGCAGCCAATCTTCTGGCTTATTAAATTGTCACCCCAAAATGCGATGCATTCAATTGGATGCCACAATCGATTGACTCGATTCAGTCGGTGATTCGATGCTTGACTTCAATTCTACTCAGAGTGGACCCAAAAAGAGAGCGTGGCCCAGAAAGGCAACGAAAGTCTAATAGAGGAATGAGGTTGGGGGGCCTCGGCAATTGTGTCACTGCCATTAAGAGCCCCCCTAATTGCGGCTAAAATTGTTTTAATATCTTTTTAACAGCCATAAGTAAGCGTCTCCGCTTGGACCTTCGCTCGGGCCTGGCCTTGAGCAGTGGGAAACTCTCCCTCCCTCTCCTTCTCTGTTTGGACCGTCTTGTGTGTTGGCTTTTCGGTTCTGGCCATTACAGTTCAATGCCTCTGGCAGCAACAGCAGCAGCAGCAGCAGCAGCAACACAAAGCCAGGCCAACAGCTCATTGTGGATTCACATTCAGATTCTGAATTTCGCACAAAAGCCAGGCCCAAGCCAAATGCCAAAGCGAGGAGGCGAGAAGGCGAGGCGGAGGAGCACAATACAATAATTCCCATGCTGATGATGGGCATCATTTTGAAATGAGCGCATAAATAAAATACACTCGAAAAGAACT